CATCATTCATCATTGAATATTGTGTTAGATGTGATATTTTTGTGGATGCTCTTTATTAGCTTGCGGAAGCTCCTTCTGGTCCTCTTTTTGTTTGTTGAGTGTTTTATAATGAGAGGATGTTATTGTCAAATGTTTTGTCTGGTTCTGAGATGGTTGCTTGATTTTTGTTTCTTACTCTATTGCTATGTTACATTAATTGGTTTTCAGATATTAATCTAACCTTGTATTCTTGGGATAGACCCCACTTGCATTTGAGTCCTTTTTATATTTCTGGACTTGGTTTGCTAGTAGTTTGGGGATTTTTGCATTCATATTCATAAGAGATGTTGTTCTGCAATTTTCTTGTGGTATCTTGGTTTGGTTTTGGTATCAGGGTATTATTGGCCTTATAGAATTAGTTTGGTGTAATGTTCCCTGTTTTTTGTTTTTCTTTTTTAAAGACAGGGTCTCACTATGTAGTTCAGGCTGTTCTTGAACTCACTGTGTAGCCCAGACTGGCCTTGAACTTGTGGTAATCCTTCTACCTCAGCCTCCCAAGTGCTGTGATTACAAGTGTGTGCTACCATGCCCAGCTGTATTTTTGGAAGACTTTGTGAAGGATTAGTATTAATTCTTCTCTTTCTGTCTTTTTTTGGGTACTTGGGATCGAACTCAGGACCTTGCACTTAGCATTAATTCTTTAAATGTTTGATAGACTTTAGTGGTGAAGCTATTTGGACTTAGACTTTCTTTGTCAGATGTTGGTTTACATTGATTTTAATTCTTATTTTAAGTATTTTATTCATTTTATAGATGAGGAAACTCAGTAAGGTTAAGTAATTTGTAACAAGTGACAGCAAGGATTTGAATGCAGATTATTTTATGTCAGTGACTAGGAAAACAGTAGTTGGCATTTATTGAATGATTAGTTTTGTGTGTCTAACTATATTGGATGCTGTAACATTGTAACTTCATGCTAGTATCCCAAAACCAAGTGCTTACTTAATGATCACTTCAAGTTTATATGCATTGTACCTACTTTCAGATAGAGAATCTGACGCAGATTTAGTAACTTGCCTGAGTGAACTATGGCCAAGAAGTAAATGGTGCAGCTGTGCTTTTCACTCATGGGCTGATCCTGGAGCTTGTGCTCCTAATTGCTCTTCTCCATTGTGTGCCTGAAGGGCCTGAGATAATCTATACAGCAAAAGCAGCTGTGGTATATGTGGACATTTCAGCCAGATCAGGTTTGGCCTTGGATGTGAATGGGCTCACACAGCCCTTCAAGTTCCATTTCAAGCTGCCTGACCCTGCACAACACTGTGGAAGCCCCGGCTGTTCCCCTTGCTCTGCTCTGCAGCAACATTTTACTCCATGATTGCAGCAAAAAACCCCGCAAACCAAACCAGAACACCTCTGTTTTTCTGCCCAGATATAGTTAGGATGAAAAGTAATTATGCATAATGTAGGTATGACCTTTTAAGGTATTTTAGTTAAGTCATCCAGCAGAATTTTATAATATCTTTTAAAGAAGACAAAGTACTTTACATATTTATTTTAACTTTGGTAGTTTTGTCTGGTTAGATGGTATATAGCTTATTGGAGTAAAGAGGAAAATTGTCTCTATTTTTCAAGTTGGAGGCCTTCCTCTAATGTCCATTCCAATTAAGAAATCTTTAAGACAGGGATGGTGGTGCATGCCAGTACTGTGGGAGGCTGAGGCAGAAGGATCCCAAGTTTGACCGCAATCTGGGCAGTTCAGCAAATTATCAAGACCTTGTCTCAAAATAAAAAGTAAAATAAGGATTAAGATATAACTTAGTCTGAAGCCCTGGATTCAGTCCCCAAGACCAAAAGAAGGAGGAGGAGGATGGGGGAAGAGGTGGGAGAGGAAAAAAAGGAAGAATAAGAATTATTAGCTTTAAAAGCCAGGATGATATCTGTGTTGGTGCAGCGCTCATTGAATGTGGACCTCATCGAGTACAGTGAGGTCTGATCTCTGCCGGATACGGTGGGTGGAATCTTGGTATTGTGGCCCCCAGAGGAAGCGTGGGAGCAGCAGGGAGCCTGTCAATGTGGCAGTGTGGCCTCTCCTGGCTCCTGCTGGGAAGAAAACAGGCCGATTCCCTGGTTGTGCAGCCCTGAGAGGAGAATCTGTAAATCTGATTGCACTTAATTCAGGCATTCAGTCAGTTTTGTCTGTACCCCTTTCTCTTTAGCTACATGGAATTTCTCTTCTGAGTGTTCTGGGGATTCACAGTGGGCCTTGGGGTGTCGTTCCTGTGCACTTCTGTGATGTTCACCTGAGTGGAGGGCACTCACACGGTCAGTTACACGTGCATCCCAGCTTTCCATCTTCCAAGATTTAGCTGTCACCTTTGCCTCATTGCAGGGTCCTTTCCCCTTCTCTTGTCATTATTATTTGTACCTGTTTTTGTTCCTTTACTGTTACTGTGTTAGAATTTCGGGGGAGAAATGATGATAAATGTCATTTATAGTTCTTTTGTAAATTACCTCTTCATGTCTTTTGCCTAATTTTTTCTTGAGTTTTATTTAGTTATATGAAATTTGTAAGAACTTTTTATATATATGAAACTTTTTCACTTTATGTATGTATTTATGTGTGTGTGTGTGTGTATATATATATATATATATATTTTTTTTAAATAGTGCTAGGAATTGAACCCAGGGCCTTTGCACTTTTTATTCTTTGTGAAAGGGTCTTGCTATGTCACTTAAGTTGCCAGGCTGGGCTCCAACATGGGATCTTCCTGCCTTAGCTTCCCAGAGTGCTGGGATTATAGACAAGCGCCATCTTATCCAGTTGAAGGATGTTGACTCTTTGATATGGTACAGTATTTTTTTCTTTTATGTTAACTTACTTATTTTTTTGAGACTGGGTCTTAACTACGTGGCCCAGGTTTATCTCGCTCCTGGACTCAGGTGACCCTCAGCCTCTCAAGTAGCTAGGACGATAGGCCTGCGCCAGTGTGCCTGGCTGTTAACTTATTTTGTTAACTTATTTTGCTGGAAGATGCTGGTGGAGATCTCAGCTTCTGTAGCTTGTACAGATGGTTGTGGAGAGGTGAATCCTGAGAGCAGCTGACTGTACCTTGACTTTCCTTTTGGTTTTCACCACCTCGTGGAAGCTGTCTTAATCTAAGTCATGCTTGAGAAGAATTCATTCTGTGTCACAAATGAAGGACCTGGCTAAGTGTAAGCATATAATTTGCCATCTTCTTTACTAAGTATTCGATGTGTATGGCCCTGTAGTCAGCTGGAAAGTTCTGGCAACAGCTGTGCTGAGGAACACGGATGCTCAGTTGCCTGCCAAGGGTCTGTTGCGTTAGCCCAGCCGCATGCCCCAGCACTGGAGAGAGGCCACTTTTGCACATATCTTGGAAGGGTAGAAGGAGGCTCTGGCAAAAATAAATTCTCTCTGCATTTAGCAGTGGGCTCAGGGCCATGAGGAAGGAAATTAGAGGGAAGGAATTGGCACAGCCCCCCATGGGTCCCAAATGCCACAAGTGGACAGGTGTTAGCTCACTTCTCTACATGGGGATCTGGTTTTCAGCTGCTTTGTTGAGGTTTGATCATGTTCCAGTTCCACTTAGGTTTTGTTTAAGCTCCTTCTCTCCTAACCAAGTTGAACAGAATATCCTACAGTAGCAGGCAGGAAAATTGTACCAGGTGCAATCTAGGAAACCTTAGTCAGGTGGGACCTGGTGCTCCTAAAGTACAAAGCGTTCAGTGCACACGTCTATTGGGAAGTCTAGTGGAATTTGGAGTCAAAAGTGGCCTGTGAGGAAGCCCAGGAACCTAGCTAGCTATCTGCCATCTGCATTGCCCCTCGGATTTCCTGATTTACTCAGAACCCCACCCTGGTCTCATTTCACCTCCAGAATAGTCCTTGGATTTTTCCTTTCCTCTGTCCAGTTGCCATGTCATTCCAGGTCTGCTTTACTGTCACGCTTCCTGGCCCCACACCTGGCTTTTAGCTTCTTCCTGTCTGATCCCTCTAATGTGCTACTGCCTGACTTACCATCTTCCTAAGGATGGCTTTGATCACTTTATTCCTCTTACTCATTTAAATATCTCTCCTTTATCTAAGTCTTGGCTCATGATCCATTCTGTGGCCTTGGGCTGGTTTTTCCTGTTTTTACTCATGTGCCACTTAGCACTAGGCAGCTTGATACTGAGTTGCTCTGATAATAATGCCTGTCTTAAAAGGAGGTTAGAAGATGCTTGAAAACTGAGTGGTGACTTCTTTCTCTTGAATTCCCTACCAGGCATAGTTAGTCTTGTGGAAACACTGGGTATTAGGCACAGCTCTCAGATAGCAGAGTGCTGATGTCGGGGGAAAATGTTTAAAAAGTGAAAAATTACCTTGGCAGGCTGAGGAGAAAGCCACAAAATCATGACTTGTTTTTGCACTTTCTTCAGCTTCACATGTATCAGATAATTTCACTTTGGAGTTTTCTTATCTTTGAAAGAGAAAAAAGTTGGAATGAATTATCTGTCAGTTTCCACCCAACCCTAAGAAGCTAATTTTCCTTCATTCTTTGCTTTACTCTTTCTCCTGAAATTAAACTTGATGAGCTGTTTTTGGATGGTGAATGAGAGATTTTTCATTTCTTTGTAATTTTTTCCCTGACGCATTTGCAATTTTCTCTGGGTATGTGCTGCTAAAGGAAATTTGGATTTGCATTTTGGCTACTTTTTAGGAGAGCAGACAAAATGCCATACTGTTCTGCTTTTTTTTTTTTGGTACGGACAGTCAAACTCAGGACCTTTCACTTGCGAGGCAGGCGGTGGAACCACTGAGGTAAATCCCCAGCCCAACTCGGAGCTTTTTATTTCTAAGAGTGAAGCTTTTAGTTAGGTGTGTAATTCTTTTTTTTTTCTTTGCTACCCGGGATTGAACTCAGGACCTTGTGCTTGCCAGGCAGGTGCAGTGCCACTGAGCTAAATCTCTGCCCCAGTTGCATGATTCTAATGTAATTCTTGCTCCTCTTCCACAGACACAATGCGGCGAGTGGTACGACAGAGCAAGTTTCGGCATGTATTTGGACAAGCAGTGAAAAATGACCAGTGCTATGATGACATCCGGGTTTCTCGTGTGACCTGGGATAGTTCCTTTTGTGCTGTCAATCCCAGATTTGTTGCCATAATCATAGAAGCGAGTGGAGGTGGAGCCTTCCTTGTACTCCCTCTGCACAAGGTGAGTAATTAGACCTCCTGTTCTGTTTGATACCCTCTGGGAGTCTCCATATTTTTTCTGTTATAAATTGACAGCTTTCTTAGAATTGTATGTTTGCAGAGACTATTAGACTGATAAAATTGAGGTGCAGTTCCACGTGCCTTCCTAGCCACATCAGCTTTTCTTTAACAGACTCATGAAAGACAGTGGTGACCTCTGTCCTGAGCATGTCCTTTGTGGATGAAAAAAATTTTTTTTCATTAGTATATTTTTGCCATAATAACAATTGTATTCATCTTCGGGAATTGGTACATATACATACTGCATCTTAATCATTTTTACTTCCCCTTCCCATCCTTGCCCTCGAAAAAGTTTACTGATGTGTGAGCACAGACAGGTATAGGAATTGCATGATTTTGTTTGTAATCATCCACTTTACACAAAACTTTTTTTTTTTCCAGAATTGTTTTTAAAACATTTGCATTTTAAAATGGGTAGACACTTGTTAGATAGTTTTTTATGAAGGGAGAAGGCCTAAGACTTTTTTTGTTTTTGAATAGTAAATGTACGAGAGCTCAAGAAAATATTCCAAAACTGTACAGATTCCAATTCTGGACAACAATACGTTTTAGCATAGCATTTAAGCAGTGTTAACAAGTGGTAGAAAAAAAGATCTTGACTGCAAGTAGTTCTGCCTGTACCTCAACTTCACAGGGCTTCCAGATCCTTTCTTCTTATTTTATCTTCCCAGAGAGCCTGCTCCAAGCTGGGAATAAGAGGAACAGAAAGGCTGACTGTTATGCATAGTGCCCATCAAAACCTGCACTTCATTAGCAAATCTCAGAGTGATGAATAATGAAAAAAATTTTTTAAAAAGCTATGAGGAGGGCCGGGGTTTTAGCTCAGTGGTTCCGGCGCCTGCTTCGCAACCTCAAGGACCCGAGTTCGATCCCCGGTACCAAAAAAAAAAAAAAAAAAAGCTATGAGGAGAGCCTAGAACAGTGGTAGTGAAACTGTGGCATGCATGCTGCAGCCAGCTGTTTGTTATCATTGAAAGCTCTAAATGGTTCACCATCACTGGTCTAGAAACAGTTGTTTTCTAGTTAGCTTAGGAAGAAAATGAGCTCGTGAGCCCTGAGCTCTCATGGTTAAGGGCTGAGGGTTAGTGATGATGCAGATACTGAGTCACATTACAGCTGTTTCCACTCTGCTTAAAAACAATGGGGGAGGCGGACCTGAATGTCCATTAGGAATACATTTTTATCGTAATGGATTGTGAGATTCTGAAAGTGGTCACAGTAAAGTGGATTTTCTGTCAAAATATTGTTGCCCATTATAATTTGATGTTTTTTCTCTTAGGAAAACTTACGATTCCCTCGTAGTTTTCTGTCAGAGATACTCATGCCTAACTTGTTTTAACATCTAAGTTTTATTTTAGTGTCTGGATTAATGTGATACCATACAATAGAAACCTCTTTCTGCAGAAGTAGAGAGATGGATGCCTTTGGGAAAAAATTTGATTCATGTTTCTAAACGCACTTTCTTATTGGTGAAAGTGACTTTTCATAAGACAGAGTCTCAGAGTCTCACTATGTAGTTCAGGCTGGCCTTGAACTTACTGTGTAGCTCAGGTGAGCCTCGAACTTGTGGCAATCCTCCTGCCTCAGCCCCCCAAGTGCTGGCATTACAAGACACACGGCTGAAAAATCTTAAAGGAGAATCTTTTCATGAAATTGAAAATTTCTTCAGTGATTCTCACTAAAAAATGCTGAAAAAGAATGGACATTTCTACTTTTATTTCTATGCAGAAAATTTCTGTTGAATGGCAAACAACACACTACACTATGATAACTATACTCAACCTAAGTTTGGAGAGGGAGTTTGAAGTAAATGTGAGTTGCTTTTCATCTCTACAGCTTTTTAGTTTATTCCTTCATCAAGAATAAGCAGCATTTGGAAATTTGACTGTGTACTGGTAAGTTTTAGAGTGGCCAGCTGAGAATACAGCCACAGTTTGTCAGCTGAGGTCAGGCACTGGAGCATTGTGATCTGTTTTGGAGTTAAGAGATTTTATTTCCCCTTTTGTAAACTGAGGGATAATTTAAGACATTCTTTTCTTCAAAGAAATGGAACACGCCAATTAAGAAGCCCAAAATAAACTTTGAATGGCTAATCTTCCACTGAGTTCAGACAGTTCCCTTCAACTTCCACATCCACAAAAGGCTCTGTGAGCCCATCTTTAGTTTTACAGACCATGAGAAACTTGAGTTTCACTTAATGTTTAAGGGAGACCTGTATGCAGTTCCTAAACTTACTCTTATGACTTGGTTTTCACCTGCATTAATTGGATTACATTTAATAAATGTTAGTTTTAGTATTATTTTGTTCTTTAACCAGCCTTAGAGGAATTAGACAAGAATAAGTTACTTTGAAAATTATTGTTTGTGAGCTCGGCACGATGGCACACACCTGTAGTCCCAGCTATTCAAGAAGTTGAGACAGGAAGATAACAGATTGAGGTCAGCCTGGGTCATTTAAGTGAGACGGTATCTCAAAATAAAAAGGACTGGGGATCTCTTAATGGCAGAGTGCCCCTGGGTTCAATCTCCAGTGCTGGGGTAGGGTGTGGGGGTAGGAATTAGCATTTTTGGAGTAAGTATTGGTCTTTGGAGGAACCTTGAGGGTCTTTCTTCCCTGGGCTATCATTATTGTCTATGTAGCATTGCTTGCTCTCTCTCTCTCTCTTTCTCTTTTTTGAGACAAGGTCTCACTGTGCAGTTCAGGCTGGCCTTGAACTCACTATGTAGCCTAGGTCTCCTTCAACCCGTGGTGATCCTCCTGCCTCAGGCTCCCAAGTGCTGGGATTACAGGTGTGTGCGACCATGCCTAGCTGCCATTGCTCTTAAATAATAATTTGTTTTGGAGGTTGTGACATTGGTGTAAACTAAGTACCATGGTTGCCTGTGGAAATGAGGTCAATATGCTTGGGGCTGTTGAATTCTATCATTGATGGGCCTACATGTATCACATGTGATTTTCCAGTATTAAAGCACATATGGTGTCAGGATGTTATAGAGGAAAGAACATTGGTCTGGAATGAAATTGGAGCTGTGAAATTCAGTTCTGTTTTGATCACCTACTTATAATGAGACATGGATGTGTCACTCCTTCCTTTTGCTCTTCTGTTTCTCTCTGTGTAACATGAAGGATTTTATATAAAAGTGATTTTCAGCCTTGGTAATTCTAGATGATCTCAGAAGTGTTTATCTCCTTTGGTTCTGTTATAAAATGATTTCTGATGCAGCTGATTTGGTAGTCAGAATTTAGCAAATAAAAACAGTTGTTCCATTGTTTTCTCATTTTGTCTACCACATAACTTAGGAAAGTACATGCCTTTTTACTTTGGCTGATTTTTCCACCAAGGCCAAAGCTGAGCCCCGCAAAAAGGAATGGTCTTGTGGTCCTTCTAGATAGGTCTGTGCCTGTGGAGCTCTCAGAAAGAGCTGCTGTAGTGGCAAGGCCTGGCCGCGAGCCCTAGGTGTCAGGTAATGTGGCCTTTTCTTCCTAAGATGCCGGCTGCTTACTGGGGCATCAGTACTGTAGAAAATAGAACCATCTTCCCTGTTGTCGGGAAACCTACATTTCTGTCTACTTTGTGAGGCAACTCAGATAGCCTCTTAATATCTACCTTATAACTTTGATGTGATCATAAGTATTTGAGTAAGGATTATGAATTTTGCATTTTTACAGGTGATATTTGCTTGTTTATACAAGTAGGTGTTCTTTGTTCTTTGACCACACGTGCAATGAGTTGCTTGATCGTGTAAGCCGAGTGCCTGCTGAGTACCTGCTGTGTGCCATCGACTGCCCCTCAGGAGCACTTGTCTATAGTTTTTGTTGTGGTTATTTTCCTAATCTCCCCAAGAGCATCTGAGCAAATGGCTGGTGCCGAGGTATTTGTCTCCTTTTTGAAAGTGTAGCGTTGAAGGAGAGTATGAAGGGCATTCGAAGTGCATGGTGAACCCATCAATCCTAATGTAGGTCTCTTTGCCCTGGAAAATAGATTCCCACAACTTTGTTATCTTGGCAGCTGTGAAATAGTTTATAACAAGGTGCTGCTTTTGTTTAAAAGCAAAGAAAAAACAAATCTTTAATAGTAATATGAAGTTATATTTGAAATCAAGATAGCAAGAAATTTTGCACTAAGAGTGTGTTAGGTTCCAGCACATGTTGGTAAGTCTCAGATTATGCTACTAAGCATGAACATTGAGAGCTGAATATGGTTTTTAATAACTACTTCAGGAGCTTCTGGTAATACTTCCCCCGTTATTTCTGGTTATAGGCAGGCAGGTCGTTTGGGTGATGTTTGGGGGGCTCTCTACACAATAATGTTGAATATATACATATTTATCTTAAGGTGGATCATGACCTTTTCTGACAGGCTCATTTAAAAACATGGCTTTCTATGAATTTCTGTTGAAGGCTAATTAGTGTCAGTAGTAAATAGGGCTTCTTACTATAACTTCCTGAAGCTTGTGGTTAGATTCTGGAAGCACATAAAAAAAAAAAGCCAGGGTATACCGGGATTTAAAATCTAAAATAGAGTAATAGGGACAAATACATTGATACATACAGCAAGAAGGATACTTATGAATGAGGGTATATTTTAAGTGTATGGTTATGAGGTTTTGTTAGGAAAGTTTTATTAAAGAAAATGGGATTGTAAAGGTTCAATGCTTGGGGAATATGGAAAGTACTCAACCCTGACATGGGGTGATTTAGATTAACACATGTGATTCCAGACCTCTTTTATAATGCTTCCATCAAGCTGTGGCATGCCACTTTGCCATGACTTTTCCAGGGGCGGCTTAGTACATTTTCATATTCTTTAGTCTTTCAGAGGTTGAATAATAAATAGCAGTCTTATTGAACACAAGTTGACTTTGTGGTTTTGCTATGAGGCATACTTTTTTCTTTGCTACAGCTGGGCAGGCTGCCTTGTCTTAAGAGCACAGAGGTTT